CGACCAGAGAAGCGGGGCTCCCACCTCACCGCGCTTTCCTTGGGGCCAGGCGCTTCCGGGGAGGAAGAGGATGAGGAGGTGGCGTTGGAGGGGGAAGAGGGCAGCGCGGGGCCAGAGGAAGAGCGGCCGGATGGGCCGGAAGGTGAGTGTGGCCTGAAGGGCCTGGCGGGGCTGGCCCTACGCTCCGGTCCCCTCTTCGATGATGGCCTTCCTGTGGCACGGGGATCTCTGGGAGCCTCCCAACCCCGGCAGGAGGGGCGCGCCCCCTAGCGCGCGTGCAGAAGTACACTTTCCCACCAGCCTTTACTCTGGGGCTTGGGAAGACCGAGTTGGGTCGGGAGGTAGAGGAGAAACCCACTGGGGAAAGTGGGTGAGCTGGGGTCCGGAGCCGCCAAGTACCTTCGGAGCGCCTGCCCACCGAGCTTTCTTTCCCAGGCACCGGCGGGCACTGACCCGCCCCCGCTTTGGGGAGCCCGCGCACCTGGGGCCTGGCGCTCGGGTCGCGGAGGACCTGCGCAGAGACCACCGCGCCACACAGCTCGGCGCCCCGCCGCGGGGGAGGGACTCAATAAAGGGCTAACGAGTCCAAACCCGCAGCTCCTTTCACTGCTCACTCTCAGCCTCGGCTTCGGAGGCGACCCCACCATCATCCCGCCCTTCTCCCGATCTGGGATCATTTGGGGGGGGCGGAAGTGGAATGACCCCTGTAGGGCACGGGTTCGCTAGCCCAGTGCCAAGGGAGGAGTGTCGGGGTGGTGCGACGGCACCAGGACTTGAGTTCCTGGGGGCGTTGGGGATATGGGGCCCTGGCTGAAAGCCGTTCTGCGGGAGCCCTCATGCAGCATCTGGTTCCCTCCCGCCGGCATAGGAGGCCGCACTTTCCCCCGGGCTCCCATCCTGCCGTGGCTCCCTGCGCCCCACAACCGAGGCCAAAGGCTCTTCAGCACTTTTATTAAAAACTGGTGACGCACAGAGTGCTCAGGGCATCCCTGGGCCGCTATAGCCCGGCGGGACTGGGTCAGTTCCAGTCGCGCACGTCCCGGCCCAGGGGGTGGATGACGGGGGTCGAGGTTCTCGTGACCGCAGACCCCCCGGAAGATCACTTGCCCACGGACTCGAATATAATGCGGTTCTGCTCGGCGCGCTCCCGCTGACTCTGCGTCCGCGCCAGCTCCAGCAGGGTCCGCAGCAGGTGGAAGGTGAGGTCAATGGATAGCGGAGGGTCGTCCCGTCTCGGCCGCTCTCCCGCAGTCCGGGGTCCCCATCCTCCCGGCCCCGCGCGGCGCGGGAAGCGCTCGGCCAGCAGCAAGAGTAGCGCGCGGGCCCCGCCGTCCTGGTTCCGCGCCCCAGGGCTCCAGCGCAGACTCGGGTCCCGGACCCCCGCGACCGCCGCTTCCGGGCTCCACTGGCTGCTCCCCGGGCGCAGCGCCGCCAGGAGCAGCAGCGCCGCCAGCAGCGCCGCGCGTCCCACCTGCCTCATGGTGCCGCCGGCCCTGGACACACAGGCGTAGCGCAGGGTGAGGTGCGCCCGGGGCAGGTGGCGCCACTCCCCTTCCCGCGCTCATCCAGCTCCCCCGCCGGGCCCCTGCGGCTGCCGCCCGTGCCCACAGCCTTCCCTCCAGCCGCAGCCCAGCCCAACGCCACCCTGTCCTCCCTCCGTCCCGCTGAGCGAGTCGCGATGGGTGAGCTATGCGACGAGTCCGGGTGCTGAGGGAGTCAGGGCGGATGCTCCTCCGAGCCACTCACAGGTTGCCGGAGAGCGTCTGCACGTTGCAGGACGGCGCTCCAGTCTCTGTCCCCCGGGCGGGCTGAGGGCGCCTTGGGGAACACGGGGTCTGTCCCGGGACCGCCGCCAGCCTTATATAGCTCCCGGACAGCTCCTACTGACGTCAGCGAGGAACATGCACTGATTGTAGAAGCAATGACGGCCGCAGCCTCGAGTCCGGCCGCTTGCGAGACCCGGAGGGGCGCACCTCAGAACCAGAGACTCTGCGTTCTGGCGCCAGGGCTGGAAGCGGCCCCAGATTTAGGAGAGCGAGAAGCCGGTGGGGCTTAACGACTGCGCTGGGAGCCATGACAGAGAGAGAGAGTCCTCTACCTGCCGGCAGGGACTAGGGCGATCCCCAGATCAGACCAGTCAGGTAGCCAGTCTCCCGTGACACACAAAAGAGAGGCTGGACCGCTGGGCTGTCAGTGGCGCCCACCCTGCTGTTTGCCTCTAGAAGGGGCCGGAGGCACTGAGAGGTTGTGCTGCTCAGACCTAGCCCCTAGCCTGGCTAGCAGCTCCACAACCTAAGGCGATCAGGAGCACAGCTGGCTCCCAGCTAGGACTCTGGTTACCACCCCAGAGGCAGCAAGGCAGGCGGGATTCTTGATCTTATTCCAGCCCCGTGGTCTAAATTCTAGAGCAGTCTAGGTGAGGCACCATTAAAAGGAGGGTCTCTGGCCTCTGGGTGCTTTCAGACCACAAAGGTGGGTCCATCTACTGAGTTTGCCCCAAAGTGGTATTTTAGCCATGTGAGTTTTTCTTCTGGGAATCACAGCCACAGTATTACTATACCTTTGACCTCCAGTTAAGATCACTTAGGAAGTCGGGGAACCTGTCTCAGTCTCTTCACATTGCTACAACAAAAATATCAACTCGGCGTCTTATAAACAAACATTTATTTGTCACAGTTCTAGAAGCTGGGAGGTCCAAGCTGACGGCGCTGGTTCTCTAGTGAGAACCCACTTGCTGACCTGCAGAAAAAGTACCTTCTCATTTTGTCCTCACATGGTGGAAGGGGTGAGGGATCTCTCTGGGGCTGCTTTAGAAGGACATTAATCCCTCATGTCCTAATCACCTCCCAAAGGCCCTACCACCTAATGCCATCACTTTGGGCATTAGGTCTTTAACATGAATTTTGGAGGGTATACAAACATTCACCTATAGCATGTGGGTTCAAGTTTCCACTCTGCCACTGGTTGGTGGTACGGACAGGTCACCTCACTTATATGGACCTCGGTGTGCTCATCTGTAAAAGAAGATCAGGGTTGGTGTCTCTAGACTTCTTTCCGGCTCTAGAAATTCTTACTGCCCCATAGGTTTCTGCTGCGTCCTACTCACCGCTTTTGCAGGTTTCAGACTACATATTTAATAGCATACTTCTGGAGGCACCACATAAAGGGTCTGTGGCCCCCAAAGAGCTGGAGTTACTGTAGGGCTGGGAAGGTTAGAGAACAGACGTGTCTCTGAAGAGTGGAGGGTGAGTGGCACTGCTGGGATATGAGTATAAACGAAGGTTGACAAGACCATACAGTACAACGAACGTTTATGGTGGTGGTTGTACAAAACGATTAGAAGGGTTTTAATGGTTTCAAGAGGAGACAGGTGCAAAGCCCATTAAGTTCTGAGTGGCACGGAACCCCAGGAAAGCTGATGTGCCCACTCTGAGGAGGCTGTCTGGTGGCTCCAGGGTCAAGCGGCATCCCCACAAGTGCAGGCAATGGAGTGAGGCGGGCCTAGAGCCGGTGAGCCTTCCAGGACAGGTAGGAATTCCAGAGAACAGCCACACACTGGACAACGGCCAGTCTACGGGACAGGAGGGGCGGCGTGAGGATGGTGAAGAATGGGGAGCAAGGAAGGGGGTGGGGAGAGCTAGGAAAGTGCAACAGAAAAGGAGGGCTTGTCTCTGAGAACGTCCACATTCAGGTCTTCCTTCAGCCCTGGAGGGACGTGTGGCTCAGACCGGAGGACAAGCAGGTTGGGGTCTGGCACTGCCCCAGAGCTCTGTCTGCTGGACAAGAGCCTCAAAGTTGAACACCCTCATCTTGCCAAGTGTGGCTCTGATTCACTCCTGTCCAGGCTCCTTCTGACTACACGTGTCTGTCTGTCTTATACCAGCTGCGATTTTATCTTCCAAAACTGCGCTGCCTGCCATGTAAAGTGGCACCTCCTTCTCCTTATTGTAAATTTACCTTCCTCTAGTTTCAAAGAGTGTTGCAAAGACTCTAATGTTGAGAATCTGCTCCCCAATTCTTCCTTTAAGCTATGCTATTCATGTCAATGTCGACTCTGTCCCCTCTGAAGAGTTCATATTTTTCCCTGTTCCCCAAATCCCTTCATCCCCAATAGTTTCAACTACTCACCTTGAGTTCCACTATATTTTTACTGTGGTTTCAGCAACTACCTTTATTACTAGGGTAAAGTAATACTCTGCAGTGGACTAACCTGGCCAGGTTCCCACTTGGCTCTTCCGTCTACCCTTCTGTCTAACCTAGGCTGTTGCCTCCCACCCCCACCCCAGGCACTGTCCCTGCAGATATGCCATCAAAGGTGGGAGCTCAGGTGGGACGGAGACAGGGCTGTGGAGCAAGAGCCTCTCCAGGAAGATGAAAGAAGGTCAGTGGGCAGGTGCTGGGACAGGCTCTATAATGGATAAGAGGTTCTGAATAAAATGCTTGAGAGTGTGAGGCGCTGCGGCTGGGGCAGTGTTCTGGGAGGCTCTAACGTGATTCGAGGTTGAAAGGAGAATCGCCTTATGCATCTTCTTTGATGGGTGGGGGTAGAACCTGTCTTACCTGTAATGAAGGGGGACCAGGTAGAAGTTGGCTAACTGCACAGCAGGCCAGAGCTAGAAGAGAACGAAGGTAAAGGTTGGGGGGCTGCCTCCATCACCCGACCCCCGGACTCACTGCCTGGTCTCACTCCGACTTCTGCAGACAAGAACAAGGTGAGCAGCTGAGTGAGTGCTTCCCTGAGTGTGGTGCCCACTCATCCCAACGGAGGGGCTTCTATGTCAGGAGGACCCCCATCCCGGGCACGTCTGGACTCAAGAAAGCAGGATGGGCAGGGGCGGTGTCATCGCTTACATAGTAGTTGGTGATGAGGGCATCAGGATAGTCCTGAGGAGACAAAGAAGGAACAAACTGACCCTCGCACTTACTTCCAAGCCGCCCCCGCCTCCTGGTCTGCGTGTCACACCCCACACTGACTTCTGTTCAAGGAAGTCTGTGCCACACCCCTCAGCTCCTCTTCTCCAGAGCCTGGGACTCGGCCCGGACTCGCACCTGGCTCGTCCCCATGAAACCTGCCTCGTTCCCCTGGGACTGGCGGGCTGCCGGCCAGAGACCAGAGGCCGCCCCACACCTGCCCAGCTCACCCGCCGTAGCTTGGCCCAGTTGTCCTGGGCTGACAGTCCGTTGAGTGCTCCTACCAGTGGGAGGAAACAGCCTAGAAAACAAGGGGCAAAGCCCCCCTAGGGGAGAAGAATTAAAGGTCTGTGAGCACCTCAACCCCCGCCCTCCCCCAGCACCGCTCACCCCTCCTGAGCCCCTTCTCCTTCGGCTCACCTGATCCAACAGCATCTTCTTCAGCGCATCTACCTTGGTGGTGCCAGGGACGAGCCGGTCCAAAACCCTGTACCAGCCTCCCACTACGGGGCCCTGAAAGTGAACCCCGGGGAGAAGAGAGGGTGTGCAGTGAGGGAAGCACTTGGCTTTTGCATCACAAAGCTCCTCTCTTCAAGGATTAGAAACCAAATCCCAGTGGAAGCACACACTCAAGGTTGGCTTAGATGGAGAGAGGCCAAGGGAAACTAAAGGATGACATGGAACTAAGGCCACCGTCCGATCCTCCAGCAGCCCGGCTGTGGGCAGAACTTACCACAAAGCCACAGCCCACAGAGACCATGGTCAGGGTCCGGCCAGTCTGGTGTTCCCGCAGACCTTGCCTCTCCACCAGCTGCTGTGAGATAATGTCACCCAGGCCCATCAGGGACCCTGTGCAGGGTACACGGGTATTGTCAGGACACTCCTGGACATGGGCTGCCATTCCAGGTAGGGAAGTGAGTCCCTGAATGAGGCTCTGACACTCTGAGCCCAAGAGACTAATTCTGGGGCAAAGAGCCAGTCGTTCACTGCTGCTTCGAAACTCTCCTCTCCCAAAGATGGTGACATCTCCCCTGTGTCCTGTTAGAAACTGGGACGAGCAGCCTTGATCAGGCCAGGGCCCATGGACTCTGCACAGAGTAATAAAGGGAAGTCCCAGTCAGAGACTGCAGCTAGAGGAAGGAGAATTTAAGGTGCTTGGGGCTGAGAACCAAGGACGATCAGAATTGGAAAGGCCTTCCAGATAATCCCATCCAAACTCCTGCTTTACAAGGTATGGAAATGAAGGCCTGGGACCTCCTATAACCAGTAAGGGGCAGAACCAAGGCAAGAACCAGGTGGCCTGATTCCCTAGACAGTGATTTTTCCAGGACTCCACAATACGAAGAGATCATGTGTAGAATGGTAAGGAACCCTGGTTTCTTCCCCCCAGTCCAAGGCAAGACCCTGGACAATGTCCGTCCCCTGGGTCTTGAGGTCTCTACTTATGGATAACAGCAAAAATAATTCTTTTTCTAAAACATGAGTGTTTAAATGGTCCCATGCGGGAAGATGAGTGGCTGAGCTGGTAAGAGTCCCCACAAGGAGGAGTCCTGGCTACCTCCTAGCACAATCAGGTAAACCCAGGCACCCGCATTCACAACCTCAGACTGAGCTGACAATAGATATTATAGCCATTTCTCTCCCAGGCCTTTGTACCTGCTTCCCCTTCCGGCACTCACACAGACACCCCGCTCCAAGCAGCCTTAGTCAGACACCCACACCCAGAAACTGAGACAGAAATCATCACTGTTTACAGAGCCCCCGTCAGTTATGGTGGCGTGATGGTTCCTAGCGAACACACACACATAGGGTCACTCGGGAGTGACCGTATGACCTCCAGCTTGCCCGTCCATCTCACTGAGTAATGAGGGCCCCCCCTCCAGTCCCATAGCTACCACTGTCCCTGTGCCCTCAATCAGCACTGGGCAAACACATCCTTTAACCCTATTCCTTGGTCCAGAGCTGGCTCTGACGTCCACACCAGCTGCACCCTCACTACTCTTCCTCTGCACCCTCTGCAAAACCCTGCCCCTGAGCAGTGTCGTCAGAGGCAGCTGAAGAAGGCGGAGGGCCGGGGCTGTGATCCGCACCCCCCCCCCCCATCCCACGGGTGACGGCACTCCCAGGCCCGTGGAGCAGCTCTGGGACCCCCGACAAAACCATCAAGGCAACCTCTCCCAGAAACTCTCAAAGTGGTGGAGGCTCTTCCCAGAACATGGCTAGCCACAACCTCCCAGAGGCCAAGGACAGAATCTTAGACATCTCTGTTCTCTTATCCCCCGCCACACCTAACCAACAGGTCCGCGCTGGGAAAGGCATGAAGAACTCCAAGTGTGAGTGCTCCCCAGAGTAGCCCAGCCCGCAGGACCACGTGTCAGGCTCAAGGTGTGAGGACAGGTGGAACTGAAGGCTTGCTCCCCTCTCCCTGCTCCGCGCAGTTAGCACTTATCTCCCTACGCCCTCGCTCACACCCCCCCAGGGACGGGTTGCTGCTGTGGCCATGCAGAAAGGGAAGGGGACCCTGAGAAGCCCTGGAGAGGGTGGAACAGAAGGCAGTCACTTCTTAAATGAAGAGAGTAACAGTCTGACCTTCTTGGGCAAGCTGTTTAACTTACAAACGGCTCTCGCATATTCGATCCTCACGAAAGGTCTGGGATGTAGACTCACACCTCCATTTACCATCTTTGAGAGCTGAGGTGATTTGGTAAGGAGCGGAGTTGGGCTGAACCCAGGCCTTCTCTCAAGAAGGAGCAGGAAGCCAGGGAATCACGGCAGGGGCTGAGACTTGGGCTCAGGGGTCAGTGGGTGCCAAGAGGCCCCTTCGGCTGCTCTGCTACTCGCAGGGGGTTCCTGCCCAAACAAGGCCCCAAAGGCTGCACATCAAAGAGACTTCCTAGACTAATGCACTTCCTTTCTGTCTTCTACTCCCCAGGAGCTGACCCTCTCTGTTCCTTGTCCCCTTGTGGGGAGGGCAAGCAGCAATCTTCCTGGGTCACAAGAGCCACAAAGAGATGAAGGTGTGTGTTTCATTCTTCGTGGCTTGCCAACAGTCACCCAACAAGCTAACGGCAGAGCAGGAATGAAAACCACAGTCCTGGGAGCCAGGAGGACTTTGAGAAAGATGGCTTCCAGGCCCCCAGACCACGCTCATGGAACCCGAGGGACTCCTGAGCAAAGGGCAGCGGCGAGAGGCAGTGGGCACGTAGCTCTGTAGCCCATGCCAGCTTTGTCCATTTCAGACAAAAAACCGTGCCCAGCAGTTCCTCCTCTGCCCACACATCAGAAGGACTCTGGGCCTGCAGCAACTCCAGGGAGGTGCAAGGCTTTGGTCTGAGCACAGAACAAGGCCTGGTCTCTGGGCCGAGGGAATTTGAGCAAGAAGAGCTGACATTCAGGTTCCTCATTCCACCTTCCCCAGTGCAGAGCCCAAGCAGGCCCCCACCAGGTTCCGGGAGGCCTCCTGGACATACTTGGTTGATCTAGATCTTTCCGTGCTCTGGCTCCCCTTTCCTTGGATTTATTTCCAGAGGGTCAGGGCAGAGATGTGAAGCCCGAGCCCTGATGGGGCAGGGTGAGGGGCTGCTGGGCAGTGATGCCCCAATGCCAGGCTGGGCGTGGAGCCCAGCAGGCAGACGCTGGCGCAGGTGTGACATCATGCCCCTGGGTAGGTGCCAGTTCTCATGCCGTCACTCACCACCGGATTCAGCGGACTGAGGGGGTTGGGGAGAGGCTGCCTCTGAGCAGAGATCTGTTTGGGACCACCCCCTGCCCACTAGTGGAAAAGCCCCAACTTCTACACCCTCGTCTTAATTCCCCACTTGCCCCACTTTGTACCCCTCCTGACTTTGTGTATGGGGTCTTAGAGGCAAGAAAATAAAGCACTAATGGAAGATGAGAAGGCTAAGTGAGGGGCAGGAAGCTGGAGTGAGGAGCAGGAAACGTGTCCTTGAGCGCAGAAGGCCTGGGGCAGCAGGTAGGGCTCCCGGCATGGGGCCCGAGGTGCTGTAGATTCATTCCTCCCCAGAAGTCTTCCACAATTAAATTGCTGCCTGGGCCAGGGGCTTGGTCTGATAGAGCCCAGAGGCAACTGAAGCTGGGCAGAGAGAGGGGAGAGTGTGTCCTCTGGGACTGGGCTGAATGCTCTCCCCACGCCTGGCCCGAAGCCATCCTACTGCTAGAAAACGAGACAAAATGGAGGGTTCTGCAGCTTTGTCAGGTATGGAAGCCCAGACCAGCTGGGACTACGCTCCGCAGTCTAAGGCCCCAGCGGTCTTGAGTGCAGAGCACTGCATTGGGAAGCACCTTACGTTCCAATGCCAGCTCTACCACCGGCCATGGGGACCTCGGTGCACATCACCCCTGCCCCCTGCCTGCTCTGTGGTATCAGGGGCTGGACTGGATGCTCCAATGCCTTTTGAGCCCTCATATCCTGGTGGAATTCAGATTCTAGGGAAACCAGGGTCTGTAGAAGCTTGGCTGTCTCCATAGCAGGACTAGAGTGGCCGGAGATGGATGGAGCTGGGCCCCGGGCCCACTGGAGACTGGAAGGGCCCTCCAGAAAGGACGGGAAAAGGCTGACTCAGACTCTGCACAACACGCTTCCCAGGCTGCTCTGTTCGTGACTCTGGCTTGGCCAACGCTGGGGGGTATCAGACACTTCTTTTGAACCATTTCAGATCTTGATTCACTTATCCCTTACTCCGGCCACTACTGCGGCTCAACCTGATCGATCCTGCCTCAGGCCTAAGTCATATCTGGGGCTGTGCTGTTGATGCTTTACCTGGGACCACGCACATGTGATCCGGGGGCACACAGGCGTTGACATCCCGTGTGGCAAACATTTGACCAATGTGGGGTGAGAGCTGGTGGGTAAAGGATTCTTCTTGTCTCCAGAAAAGACTATTCTCCCATATAGTTCTAAGAGGCATTTCAAAGAGCTTCTCGGTCCGTTTTAAGGGATGAGGAGACACACGTCCTAAGCAGTATGCAATATGATCTTTGTACTGGCTCTCCCTCTTCCCCTGCAGGATTAATTGCTACTCCCTTACAAAGTACCTGCATCAAAACCCCAGGCTCTGCTATTTGGAGAGCCAAGGGTAAGATAGTCACCCATGATCAAATTTAAGGCAAATGGAACAAACTCAGCTGAAAAACCACTCTAAAAAGAATAGCTTGTCATTTAGGGTTGACAACACTCACGGAAAGGGCCAAGTCCAGGAGGCTTTATGTCTATTGAACTTTTTTTTTTTTCCTTCAAATTTCTAAAGCCTTTTCACAGAGATAACTCCTACACTGACTCTGTGAGGTCATATAACTAAACTCAATTCCTAAATAAGGAAACCGAGGCTCCAAGAGATTTACTGATTTACTTGCCTGGTTCACGCAGCTACTGAGTGCTATGGCTGAGATTCAAAACCTGGTCTTGGGGCGCCTGGGTGGCTCAGTCGGTTAAGCATCTGGCTTTGGCTCAGGTCATGATCTCACAGTTTGTGGGTTCTAGCCCCACATAGGGCTCTGTGCTGACAGCTCAGAGCCTGGAGCCTGCTTCCGACTCTGTGTCTCTCTCATTGCCCCTCCCTTGCTCACGCTTTCTTTCTCAAAAATAAACATTACCAAAAAAAAAAAAATTTTTTTTAAACAAAAACAAAACCTGGTCTTCTAAGTCCAAGTCTGAAATCTCTCTTCTGTCTTCCAGTGTGATGAGCTACCCCATGGGACCTTAGGAAGCACTGTGCAAGGATCTAAAAACAGCTCGATGAGCTAAACCCACCTCTTCCCTTCATTTGTAGTTTGATCCAAACACGTTAGCAGCAGGGAAGGAGATGTCTGAGAAAAGTGCTACCTACAAGGTGCTTCAGGGCTGTGCGGAGACGATGCAGGTATAGAGCCACACACCCAGACGGAGATACTGGGCTCCAGCACCCCAGTCCAGTCACACATATGCACTTGGGCCCCTCTGAACTCTAGCTCCTCCCCTTGTCAATTGCACATCCCTTGGGACGGGAAACACAGGGACTATCCCTCCCTCTCTATTCTTGATGGCCAGGAGGGGGAACCTTCCTTCCGGCCGTTAAGGGCCCTGAGGGAGTCTGAGGCTGGCAAAGGGCCCAGCGTGTCAGTCCCCATCACAGCCACACAGTCCAGCATGAGTCACCACGCGCGCAACCAGGTGAGTCATGCAGGCTGACGGACGCTCTGAGGACAGGACATGGGGTGGTTGGGCACAGAGGTTGGAGAAGGGCCCGGGGAGGGGCAAAAGCGTCCAACCCTTGGCCAGTCACCCGGTGAACTTTCTAGTGCTGATGTGGGGCTATTCCAGTAACAAGACTGCTGTTCCTCCCTGGCTTTCATAGCTTGCCACTCCTCCTGACAGTCTTCGTTCCAGAAGCCCATGGTCCTCACTAGAATCCTGTTCCCTTCCTCTAAACATAGGCAAGACCCCATCTTAACCTGCTCACTCTTGCACTGCTCCAAGAGTCATAGACCTTCTAGTCCCCCCCCCCCGCCACTATAAAACTTACTTATCTCTGTGCCATCTCTGGATTTCTTAGCTAATGTGCAAAATAAAGATGGTAACAAATGCAGGTTAAGTCACTGGGTTGCCTTTGTGAGGTTGTTATCCAGTCACTGGATTTGGAGTAAACATAAATCCTTGATTAGTATATGGTTTGGGGATATATAAATAGGTAGTAAAACTATAAGAAAAGCAAAAGAGTTGTATAAACAAAACTCATGAAAATGGTCCTCTCGGCTATACAAGTCAAGTTAGGGATAGGTGCCCAAGGGGTCTCGAGCTGGGTACTGATACAAAAGTAATCAATTTTAATACTATTTAAACTGTACACACGTCTTAACTATTCTTTTGTATGCTAAGATACATTTTACCAAAAAAAAAAAATACCACAAAGAAAATAAACTGGGGTAAAAGTCCTGATCCCAGCACTTATTAGGTGATTTAATGCAGACTCTCAGATCTTTGTGACGACCCTATGAGATAAATGTGTCTTGAAAGTGTTTTGCACACTGTAAGATGTTAGAGGAGCGTTTGCTATTGTTTTCTAAGTTAAGGCCTCCTGGAGCAATGCCTTTATCCCAAAGGGATGACTCCTCAGCTTTCTGAGGACTTTCAGATCCTACTTTACAACTAGGCATACCCTTTCCTTAAGAACAGCCTTGGGGACCCACCTTCCCAAAGACTGGGGACAACTTGGGATGACAGACAGCTAACCCTTCAAGGGGGCTGAATAGAAGCAACTGAGGGAGGTGTGGTGGGGCGAGCTTTTGCCTCCCAAATCAGCCTGCTCTGGCTCCACTCAGGTCTATTCACTCACCAGCTGTCAGGACCTGTACTTTCCACGGGTGAACAGTCAGGGCTCGCTGGTATGCCCGCCAGAGTGCCATGATTCCTGTCAAGCCAAGAGGAGAGGGGGGTTACCCTCATGGCCTCTCCCCACAATTAAAGAGACGCTTGACTTTCCGTTGTGCCCACTCCCTCTCCCCCTCCCGCTTCCAATATGTCCTAGAGGGGCAGAGGCCTCAGGAGAGATGCTTCCTGGACAACTTCCTGTTATAGGGATCGTCTTAGGCAATCAGGTAATAGAGGAGGGCTGTAAGCGGCTACTGAATGTCAGTGGCAGCTACCAGCCACCCCATCCCCCGCCCTGAAGCAAGGCCACCTGGGGACCTCCTTCCGTACCGAGACACGTAAGGACAGTTTGCTCAGGCTTTTACCCAGAGCTTGGTTGGTCCCCTGGGTCACTCTCGGTTGGAACCAGCCCGCATCCTTCCTGAGTCCAACCGGAAATAGGGCCTATCATTCCCTGGCCTGGAAGAGGTCACAGGCGCTTTAGGCGCTCTCAGCACGCGACGCTTTGAGCCCGGGACGGAGGATCACCAGCCACTCACCTGCTCTCGCGTCCAGCCCCTCACGTGACCCGACAGGAGGCGGGACTTCCGCCGCAAGCCACGCCCTTCCGCCCGGCTGGCCCCCAAGCTTAAGCCGGCTCCCGGGGCTGGAGTGGGAGTGGACTGAGCCACAAATACCCGTGGAGAACGGCTCAGCTCTCAGTCTGTGAGCAAACCCTTTTCCAAGTGTGCGCCCGGTCTCGGTGAGGGCCCCTCCTGCCATGCTTCCCACCTGACCTCTGCCTCCTCCTGACCCCTCTCCCCGTGGCCCGGGCTTCTCAACCTGGGTAGACCCTCACTGCTCCCGCGCCCCGGAACTGGCCAAGGTGCTGACGCCTTGCTCAATCTCGGGCATTAGTTTGGAAACATAGTTAAGTGCGTGTGTTATTTTTTCAGTGTCCTTGGGTTCTTCACTAGCCTTGATTGTGAGCTCCTGAATAGGTGAAACTGCGTCGTTTGTATTTGCCATCCTCTTAGCACCTAGTTCAGTTTTTGTCCACGACGGGCCTTTAGAAATGCTGCGCAGGGGCACCTGGGTGGCTCAGTCATTCTGGTCAGGTTGTGATCTCACGGTTGGTGAGTGGTTGGTGAGTTCCAGCCCTGCATGGGGATCTCTGCTGTCAGCGCGAAGCTCTTTGCGGATCATCTGTCCCCTTTCTCTCTGCCCCTCCCCCACCTACACTCTCTCTCAAAAATAAAAAATAAACATTAAAAAAAAAGAAAAAGAAAAAGAAAAAGAAAAGCTGCGCAAAGAGGACTCCTCCCTGGAAAGCACAGGATTCCAGAACCTCAGAAGGTCCTTACTGGTTCCATAACTAGTGGTCTCTGCAGCCTTGGTCAGTACTAGAATGTAAGATTCCTCATCTGTTTAACTGTTTTTCAAACCCCTCAGTTTTAGGGGTTTATAAGGAGACGTTTTGGGGGATATCACCACAGGTTCTTCTTTACCTCAGCTTTTAAAATGTATTTCTAGGAAAAGCCATTTTTAAACAAAGGGGCCCACAACTAAAAGTGTTTGGAAATCAATAGGTTCGGTGATTTCTTAATCCCTTTCCAGCTCTAACATTCTAAAATTTTGTGAATCTAGTGAAACATCCTTTCTAGGGTGGTGGAAACTATGACCAGGTCCCTGGCAGTACATTTGTCAGGCTGGCAGCCTTTAACTATATCCAGGGAGCCCACACTTCAGGGAGCAGCCATACGGGACTCTTTCAGGCTATCTGGCTAGCTCTAGCCCCAGTTTACTCAATTCCTATATGATTAAGGCAGGGAGAATCCTGTCACAGCTACTGGAGAAACACAATGAGGAAGCAAGATAATTGGGTGTCACAAATATTTAACTAAAGGCTCCTATATACAAAACACTGTGCTAGAGTGAATTTACACTGGTAAATATAATAGACCAAATGAGGTTAGGTTGGAAACAATTGTCCTCTGAAGTCAGGCTGTCTACATTCAAATCCCAGCATCACTACTTAGTAAACTGACCTTATTCAGACTGCTCAAACTCCCAATAATAGCAAGTAAAATGGGGCAGTACCTACCTCATATGATTAGGTAACATGCAAAATACCTGAAATAGACCAAGTGCTTAATAAACACTTGTTTATCCTTTTTTCTTCCTTTCCTCTTGAGAACACATGGGAGGGAGAATATTTACTAGAGAAATCTATGAAACTCCTTGATGAAAGGTGAGATTTGCATTGGGACCTTGAAGGATGAATAGGGTTTTTGTGGAGATGATGAAAAAGGATGCTCCTGGAGCGGGGAAGTGTGAGCAAATGCACAAAGAAAGAAAAGCACAGGCATCCATGGATAGTATAAAGTGTACACATTGGGAGGGAAGGTTGAAGTGGAACAGCCTGGGGAGAAGAGGGTTTATGGTGAAGAAAGACAGCAAGGGCTGAAAGCAACCTCCTGATTTTCTTTTGGAGGTGGAGACCAAGGCTAGAGTCCACAGGAGGAGCAAGGCTGCCAGCACCGACCTCTAGCCTCAACAGCAAGGGGCCCCAGGTCCCATCTTTTCTGCCACTGAAAGTGGAATCCCATGAGGCAGTGTTAAGGGGCTGCTGTGTAGAATGAACAAAGCTTCTCTGCAATGGAAGGCATTTCCCTGTCAGCTCAAAAACAAAAGTGGCACAACCAGAGCCCGATCACAATGGGACGGTAGAAGACTGGACTCTTTGCACCGACATGGGTTGTGGTCCCTCTGCTGCTAATAGTCTGGTTGCCTCCAGCTTGTTTCCTCTTCTGTACAGGAAGGAAATTGGAACTGCTTGATTCCTTTCTTCTTCTTGACATACAATAAATTCCCAAATCCAAGAGGCAGAAAGCTATTCACAGATATTTGGCCAACCAGTCTACAGTGCCAGAGGGTTTTGTTCCAGGTAGGTGGTAAACTAATCTCCACTCCCTTCAGTTGGAGCTGGCTGTGTACTTCTTTCTGTCTTCCGAGGTCATCTGACTCCTCCCTCCCCTCCACCCCAAACTTGATTGTACTCCTATACATTCCAAGACTGTGGTTTGCCTATTTCTCATTGCTGGGGTCTGTCTCTGCTTAGGAGGCGGTACTGCAGTCCCTAGGAGTCTGCAGCATCCCACAAGAGGACTCTAACAAGAGGAGATACAACAACACATTACTGTATTTGGGTTCTAAACACCTCCTATCTGGAGAGTTGAAATAAAAGCAGCTAGACATGTTTAATAACTCAATGATATGCCAGGATCATGAAGGACCAAAAATGATGACGTGTAAAGAATGGTTAAAGTAACTGAAGATATTTAATCTAGAGAAGAAAAGACTTGGGAAACACATGATAGCTATTTTTTAAATATTTAAAAGGGCAATCACAGGGAAGAATGACTAGATTTCCTAATAATCATGGTGAAATGTATAGAAGTATACTCTTTGACTTGATATAAAGGAAGATTTTTTTTAAAACATGACTGCCTAGGAGTGTTCGAGTAAGGTCAGACGACCAGTGATTGGGAATATTTCATAAGCAGGAGCAAGTAAGATCTGAGCCACTGTTCTACTGGTAGGGCGTTTGTGGTGTTCCTCAGTTAAAGAAGTACTATAAGCCGCTTCAATCCAATAAATTACTGTCACCCCTCATGGGCCTGTGTGTTGGTTACTTTGAAGAGGAAGTTGAGAAGGCAGTAATACTGGATCCTGGAATATAGTCAGACAGGAGCCTTCATACAGATACCCTTTCCAGTTCTCCAAACACCCACTCACGTGTGGTCTCAAAAACACCCAGTACCTTTACTCAGCTTTACCCACTTCACAATATGCTCAATATGAGCAATTTGACTCCCAAGCCTAGGTCAGGCCTGAGTGTTTCTCATGAGCCATAGTTTTAGGTGGAGGAGCCTTGAGAGTTTGTGGAGGGAGAGCCCCCCTGCCCGCAGGGGCCTGTGATGACAGAGTCTGTGGAAGGAGAGGTATCTAAGGAGTCCTGGCAAGGCAGGTCTAAAGGTCCAGGTCTGGCAGCGTCACTATCCAGGAAGACCCCAGTTCCTATGGCCCTGTGGTTGGGGGCCATTTGTTCCTGGCAGATTTCATTCCAAAGGTCCTGTGTGGACCACGACTAGGGACTGGGCAGAAGGCGATGGCTAGTTGGAGGGAAGCCAGGCCCTTTAATAGGGGAGGACGGCTGGAACATAGCAGTGAAGTGGGCTCGGCTTTCAAGCTGCATACGGTGGCCCAGTGGTGAGGTGAGTCCACGGACAAAATGGATCCGAACCAGCCCTGACTGTCCCCCAGATACCAGCCATCCATAGGAATCCAGGTTTGGGCTGAAGCGGACCTGTGCAGAGAACAGAAAACAAAAGAGAGATGCTCACAGTTGGTGCTTTAGGGTGAGTTGTAGCTGTAAGAGGAGGAAAAAAAAAAGGGCCACAATCTGAAAGGATAAGACCACGATGGGGTAAGAGAGGTAGAAATGAGGAATGTCTATCATGCTTTGCAGAATGAGGTCGCCAGAGCTGTTTTCCCTTCTCAGCTGTCTCTGTTATGTGTTCATTGCCCATTTCATTGATCCTATGTCCAGAGTTGGGACGAAACGAGAGTGAAGAAAGGTGGAGAAGATGAGACCAGGCTTTTACCTTGTGGATAGCCTCCAGCTGCAGCCTGTCCAGGCAGAGCTGCGAATGCCCCTCTCCTTCCTGCATGCGCAGCATTGGCTCTCTGTGGAGCAGATCGTGGAAGGAACCCTGGGGAGGGGAGTACAACAAGAGAGAGAAAGCCAGGGGCTTCTTAGTCTTGCATCTTTGGGCTACAACTCCTTAGAAAGCCCTACTATACCAGGACTAACATTTTCTACTTTTTCAAATGCCACACCCATTCTCTTGGCCTCAATTTACCAAATCTGTGTCTTGAAAGAGCAAGTAGTGATGGCTGACAGTTTCAGCATAAGTTCGAGCCTTGGGAGGGTTGGGGGCCTCCGATGAAGCAGAACGGTCTCGACCTTCAGGGCTGTCCTGATATGGCATCAGATCTGCTTTATATATAGGCTAGAAAGGAGACCCTGACATTAGGTTCCATAATACTGAAGACGGAATAAAAGTAAAAGAGAAAATTGATTTTGGGTAGGAGAGACTTAAAAGATGGAAGAAGGTAGTAGGTTTGAACATATGCTCAGATGCACTAAGGTAGAGAAGATTATGTACAACTCTGTGCTGAGATTTCCAGGGACCAGGCACCTGGGTGGCTGAGTCGGTTAAGCATCTGACTTCGGCTCGGGTCATGATCTCACGGCTTGTGAGCTCGAGCCCCGTGTCAGGCTCTGTGCTGACAGCTCAGAGACTGGAGTTTGCTTCAGATTCTGTGTCTCTCCCTCCCCCTCCCCCCCACCTCTCTCAAAAATAAACATTAAAAAAGACTTCCAGAGACAATTTCAGGTCTGGGAGACCTCATACAAATTTGTACCCTATTGTTAATTTATAGTTCTAATTTAGGAGATCACGTGGATGAGGACCCAACAGATGGTGCTGCCATTAAATATTCATATACGTACGAATCTTCGCTCTACAGGTCGCTTGACATTTATTGGGTTCAGTGCCATGTCTGGCAATATAGCTGCAATGAGCTCCCCGGATATATCTCCCGCGGCTATTGTCCCAAGCCAGTCGGATCCTGAAAGACTCTAATAAGAAGAGACAGATGTCTTTCATTCATTCATTCACTCATTGTTTCAGTTCTGTGAACTGGTAACAACTGCACACAGTCTGAGGTGGGCACACACACACATACAAATGAGCTTATGCATAACCCTTATCCCTGATGATACAGTTACCATACATCTCTCTTTTTCTATCCAAAACTACTGCCTCTTCCTGACCACCAGCAGGTGAGTAAAGTAATCGTTTTCCTGTGTAATGAAGACGGGGGCTCACCCAGACAGTGCCTTTTCGAGGAGCAGTGAAATAGGCCTTGAAACCAAGGTAACCAGCATCAATATAATGAATTCCACAGAGTCCATAACTGTAAGAGGAAGAAAAAAACACTTTCCTTTTTCCAAGACTGGATTCATTTCCCTTCCCCAGTTCCTTCCAGAATGCAGATTACCTCAGTGTTTCCTTCAGTGCCCAACTCTGAACTCCCCTCTCCCCACAACAACCTGGCACACTTTGCACCCCAACCCTTAGGGCCTGTCCCAGAGCCCCTATGTGTATCCTGCCGTACGAGGCATAGCAGTTGTCCTGAGCCACAGTGACACCATTGTAGGGGAGCAGCCAGGCCAGCTCTGTACTCAAGAAGCGCTTGATAGAGTTTATGGGTTCATAAGGTCGTCGAAGGTCCCAGAATTTGATTTTGCGGTCACTTCCCGCAGAGACGAGGAAATGACTGTGGAAAGAGGGGAGAAAAGGGAGCAGATCAAATCTGAGCAAGGCTGGGAGCGCCAGCCTGCCCAGGCTTCACCTCCCACGCCACAGCTCTCCTGTCCCGTACCTGTTAGCTTTGCACCACTGAAGGGCACGCACAGCCTGGTCATGGGCTAGGAAACACTGGAAAGGGTAGAGTTTCAAGGAGCCGTCAGAGAGCCGTATCCGCTGCAGGGGTGAGCTGGTGGGAAGGTTCCAGAAAACCACCATGCCTGAGGTAGGGATAGAATGTGTAGGTAATAAAGGCAAGTTCTCCCTTCTTTGCTCTAATGTTTTCCTCTGGGTTCCTAGGACCTTTGCCTTTTACCCTCAGATGTGACCCCCTTATGAAAGGATATGTGGATCATGATGATCTAGGCAACATTCCCTCCATGATATTTTAGCTCCAACACTCATCAACAAAAAAATAATAGCTTAGTGTGGCATTGCAGTTGAAAGCTGGACTGAATACACCCAGTAGCCTGGACTCCCTACTAAATAAAAGCAAAGGGCTTTTTAAAAGGCATAAACCCTCTAGGACAAGGGTTGACGAACTACAGCCCTTGGGCCAAATACAGCCTGCTGCCTGCTTTGGTAAATAAAGTCTGACTGGAACACGGTCACACCCATTCGTTTACCTCATGTATGGCTGCCTTCAGTTTTCAATGGCAGAGTTGAGCAGTTCCAACAATGGTCAAACAGCCCACAAGACATAAAATATTCACTATCTGGACCTTTAGAGAAATGTCTGCCAACTCTGCTCTAAGACAAAGAGAATAGGCAAGGAGCCAAAAGCAACAAGATGTGGAGAAACATAAAACAAACGAAGAAATAGAAACCAACTCTGCTGACCCAAAAAGCTGCCCCCGACCGGGCTGGCGGAGGAGGAGGTAATCAAAAGTAGAACTCTGATAAAAAGAAAAGAAATTAAGGAACAGTAAGAATTTAATCAACAAAAGCTGGGGAAAATATTTGTAGCTAAAAACTGAGGAAACGTAGCACCTCTGAACCTTTTTGGAAAAAGCTCATTGGCAGGGGCACCTGGGTGGCTCGGTTCAGCGTCCGGCTTCGGCTCAGGTCATGATCTCACGGTCCGTGAGTTCGAGCCCCACGTCGGGCTCTGTGCTGACAGCTCAGAGCCTGGAGCCTGTTTCAGATTCTGTGTCTCCCTCTCTCTCTGCCCCTCCCCTGTTCATGCTCTGTCTCTCCCTGTCTCAAAAATAAATAAATGTTAAAAAAAAATTTTTTTTAAAAAAGAAAAAGCTCATTGGCAGTGAACTCCAGCCGAGCCGTATCAATAATTTGGCAACAACGGCAGCCTGAGGTGAACGGACGGTGGACACACATGATCATTTCAATACAGAATTAAGGTTAAATAACTGGGAATCAAGACAGCAAAACAGCATCAACAATGACAGCATGCAAATGATGAAAAATCACAGTACCAAAAGAAACACTGAGAAGACCGAGAGGGCCAGGAAGAAGCGTGAGAGTGCTAATTTCCTGACTTCTGTAGGCTGAGGCTACTGATGAGGTCTGACCATGAAATTGTCACCTGATAACTCCAACTACTGGACTGCTCTTTATCATTCTTTCCCCCTCTTTTTAACCTCAAGAGGATCCTAAGGAATGGATGTCTCTGTGGTGAAGGAACATTTATGGGAAGCTTAGCCCATCTTTCAGTTTCCAGTCTTTTTCTTTTATAAAATTAAAGTGTAATTAAATTTCATACATTTTCATTTAAAATAGCTTATAGAGGGGCGCCTGGCTGGCTCAGGGGGTAAAGTGTGTGACTCTTGCTCTCAGGGTTGTGAGTCTGAGCCCCACACTGGGTGTGGAGATTACTTAAAAACAAAATCTTTAAAACAGCTTATATAGGGGGCGCCTGGGTGGCTCAGTCGGTTAAGCGTCCGACTTCAGCTCAGGTCATTGTCTCATGGTTCATGAGCTCAAGACCCACACTGGGATCTCTGCTGTCAGCATGGAGTCCACTTCAGATCCTGTCTCCCTCTCTCTGCCCCTCTGCCACTTGTGCTCTCTTTCTTTGTCTCTCAAATATAAAAAACATTAAAAAATATTTTTAAAATACATAGAATGATCCCACGGTCATAGATTTCTTTCTCTCGCCATCTGATCTTTTTATCTTTATATATGCATACAGAACTCCATGAAATGATCTTCACCGACTCTTAATTATGGTTTTTTGAAAAGAAGATTTCTAGTGACTTTCTTCTTCCTTCTTTGTATTTTTTTTACACTGCTTGAACATAATGCCCAAAACTGAACCAAAAAAGAAACAACCAAAAAACAACAAGCATATATAAACTTTAAATAGCAACATCCCCTTATGTTTTGTTTTGTTTTGTTACCATTATAGTAGCCAGCAGCCAGGTGGTGGTGGGGCCGGGTGGGCATCCAGGCCAGGCTAAGGCACTGACCACACTCAGAGGGGTCCGAAGCTTGCATAGACCCCACCTGAAGGGTCGCCACACATTGTACCTGCAGAGACAGAAGAGCCGGGCCTAGGGTTAGGAATACCTACCATTTGCCACAAAGGCTCAAATCAGTGTTTAATCCAGCAGGATGGGGGTTTTTCAGTGGCAGAAGGAGACTCACTGTGGAATCAGTAAGGGAGGCTCGAGAAGATGGAGCCTTGGCTAAGGTAGCAGATTCCTCACTCACCTTATAGATGGCGGGCTTCACTGCATCTATGAGGGAAGAAGAGCGATGCTCTGAGAACAGAGGACTAAAGTCCTGATCTGCCTTGCTCTTACATCAGCACCCCTAATCTGACAATGACCTTCCCTTACGCTCATTTCTCCACCAGCACATTGATGAATCTACCTCTATCTGGCCCCATCCCCTTCCCCCACCCCCTTATAGTGAGCGTGTCCTTCCTCCTATCAGAATGACTAATTGCTCCACTCTGCTCTCTCCCCACTCTCTCACCTTTTCCAGAACTTTGCTCATCTGGTTATCTTTCGTTTCTCCTGAGCGATCTGCTTTCTCTCCCTAATGGATCGTTCTCATATGCATACGTAAACATGCACTATAGTCTCCTAACTCAATAAAACAAACACACAAACAAAACCTTTCCTTTGCCCCTTATTCGCCTCCAGCCACCACCCTCATCCATGTGTTCCTCTTCACGGCCAACCTACTTGAAAGAATCGTCTACGCATCTGTCTTCACTTCCTCACTGCCTATTCCCTCCTCAGCCCACTCCTCCACCAAACCACCAAGTATGGCATTTCTCGGGGCTCAAAACTGGGTGCCCTCTTCTTTAAATACTCGGGACAGTTGAAAATCAAGTTTGACAAATAGGAGATGTCTTTCCCTAACCTCTTCCTCTTCTTGCTCATCTTCAGCTCTATATTCTCTCCCTCTCTTCCCAATGAAGAGAGGGTGTTTATGTGTACACGGAGAGGCAAGCGTTTATGTGAAGAAAGGAGAGGTGAGTACGGGACTGAGGGAAGGAGAAGAGTGTGGCAGAGGAGATCAGGGGAGATCACGCTCAGCACATAAGCTGTGGCAGCAGGAGGGGAGGGCCTGAGGGCACACAGCAGGCAAGGGGGAGAAAGGGGGTATGCTCAAAGAACTCAGTGAGAAGACGGCAGGAGAGAGTACCCCTTTTGCAGACTGCTAAAGAGACAGGTGGAGAACAAAAGGTGTGAAGTCAGAGTGGGTAGGATGCCGAGTAAGGCTTGGTCCTAGAGGCTGGGCCAGGAGGGGCTTCAGGGGAGATGGACAGACCCTGCTGCAGCAGCACCACCCCCTCGCCTGCTGCACTACTCACCTGGGGGCTGTTGAGCCAGCAGGGCCTCCGGATGGGGCAGACTGAACAGCAGCACCTTCCCATCTGAGCAGGCAAGAGCCAAGAGGCCCAATCGGGGCAGAAGAGGAGCCTAGAGGGGGAGCACAGATCTGTGGGCTCTGAGGGCTTGCTGCCTTCAGAGCCTCTCAGAAAACTTTTGAGGTTTTGGCCCCTGGAAACGATATGGGGTTGCCGGGAAAACTCCATCCACCGCTCTCTGTCCCCTCTGAGAACTCGCAGGGCCTCTCTGTTCTGACTCTGAGTCCTAAAGCATCCCACAACCAACAGGGAGGTACCTTCCGAGGGGTGCCTGGAAGTTCCCATGCTCCACTGGGGCAGAACTTGAGGTCCCAGATGCAGCCATGGTCACAAGCAATCCCATAGACAAAGTGGGCCCTGTTGCCAGGACTGAGGAGAGAAAGCATATGGGGAGAATGGGTAGGGAGAAGGGGCCTGGGGCTGCCAGAGCCTGTGCTCTGCCCCATCTCAACCCAATCCAAGCGCCCCAGCGCCCCTGCCCAGCCCCATCCTTCTCTCCTCCTCAACCACCCTCCCACAGCAGCGTTCCAGCCCCACCTCACCAGCTTTCTTGCTGCAAGGTCCCGAGGCCCCAGAGCTGGAGCAGCCCGGGACCCGAATGAAGCTGGCTCAGTGCGTGTGTCTCATTCATGTCAGGGCTGGAGAAAAGGGCCACATACTGCGAGGCTGATGCCCCCTCTGGCACTGGGCACCAATCCAGAGCCCAGAGGGGTCCCCCTGTGAAGAAGGACACATCCCAGCGCTCTGGGTGTGCTGTGATCGAGCTAAATCTAGAGAAAAGTCAAAGATGGGATGAAGAAAGGAATTAATAAAAGGTAATAAGGACTTCATTAGGTGAGCGGATAAGCATCCAAACAATGGAATATTATATGGCACTAAAAATAAATGAGCTATCAAACAATGAAAAGGCACGGAGGAACCTTAAATGCATGTTTAAGTGAAAGAAACCCACCTGAAAAAGGCTACACGCTGTATGAACCCAACTATGTAGCATTTTGGAAAAGGCAAAACTATACAGTCAAAAGATCAGTGATAGCCAGGGATTAGAGGGGAGGATGAGTAGCTAGAACACATAGGATTTTTAGGGCAGCAAAACTACTCTGTATGATCCCATCATGACAGAGACATGTCATTATACATTTGTCCAAACCCAAAGAATGTACAAGACCAAGAGTGAATCCTGATGTACACTATGGACTTTGAGTGATGATGTGTCAATGTAGGCTCATTCATCGTAACAAATGTACCCTCTGGTGGGGGATGTTGATAATGGGGCAGCTGTATATGTATGGGGGCAGGGGAGTATATGGGAGATCTCTGCACCTTCCTCTCAATTTTGAACCTAAAACTGCTCCAAAAAATTAAGCCTTTAAAAAAAAAAAAAAAAAAGGTAATGAGGACAGAATGGGAGCTCCACCTGGAGCTGGTATGAACTAGCTTAAGCAAGGGCCAGAATATCAAGAACATTCTACAGGTGACAATAGTCCTTAGCCACCATCTGTCTTCCTCCTTTCCTTCCAAAGCCTGTCTAGCTCTAGTTCACCTTCAAAGATGACAGGCTGTGCATTCTGGTTTACCACAGGGCTCTCCAGGGCCAGTGTGCCCAGGTCTATCTGAGTAGATGTGACCTTGTAAACGGGTTTGACCTTCCATCTCCGTAGCTGCCCTCAGTCTGGCCAGCAGTGATGAGCACTGCAAACTACCTGGGTTGACCAGGTCTAGCAAGGCCTCCCACCCTGGGACCAACTGGAACAGCATCAGGGGAAGAAGAGGGCCAATATGTCATCCCTTTCAACACTCATTTGTCCTGTTTCTATCTCCTAGAACCAGAAAGAGATGCAATCTTCACCTGTTTATTCGGTAGAGTGTGCCATCTTCAGGAAGTCCTTCACGCTGTACAGAGAACAGTGGAGACTTCTCCTGCTGGGGCAGGTAGGGCGCCGCCTCACTGGGGGCAGGCAAAGGAAAGAGCATGAATGTGGAAGACTTTCACCCACCCCAGGATTCCCTGTCCCTCTTCTGATCCCAGGAGTGTCACCCCCTCCTCGGCTTCAGAATGTCTAACTTACAGTTCAGACAACAAGTGCCACTTCCAGGCTAACGGAATCCACTCTGCAAACTCCCAGTACGAGTGCTTCTGTTCTCGGCTGGAGGGACAGAAGCAGCGTTAGTGAAGGAGGAGAGAAATTCTTGGGCAGCTCTGTCCAGTAACCTGTGTGCAGTGATGGGAGGGATCTATTATGTGTGCTGTCCAACGGATACATTAGCCGCTAGCTGTAAGTGGCTATTAAAATGTGGCTAGTGCAGCTGTGAAACTGGACTTTTAATTTCATTTTAATTAATTTGAAATTACATTTAAATGGCCACACACACAGCTAGTGGCTTATGTCGGACAGCATGGCTCTGGAGCTCTTGCCTTTAGAGCGGTACCTTTTAGTTATGAATGTCTTCAGTGTCCTGCCCTGTGAGTGCCTTCCCTCTTTCCCATGGCCCCACTTCTAGAAGGTCCTCTGCACGCCAACACCACCCCCGCATCCCCAGCCCCCTCCTCAAGCCTCACAGGTCCTTGGTGAGATGGAGGCACTTCCAAACTGGAGCCATGATGTGATTTGGTAAGCCATTGGGAGCCATTCCCCGGCAGTGTGGCTTCTGTTTCTGAGGATCAAATGGAAAAAAAAAAACATAAGCGAGAGAACTTTACAGACTGGAGAAAGTCCCCGGAAGATAGCTTTCCCAGCTTTTACTTTTCTTGGTACTACCTCCTCTCTAGCCTCTGACCTGTCAGTGTCTTAAAAGATTGATGTTTCCACCATTACTAGGACTTCACCTTCTGCAAAACCTGTTATGTATTTTCTTATTTATTTTTTGAAGTTTATTTATTTTGAGAGAGTGGGGGGTGGGGGGGAGAGACAGCATGCACCAGTGTACACGAGGGAGGGGCAGAGAGAGAGGGAGAGAAAGAAAATCCCAAGCAGGCTCTGTGCTATCAGCGCGAAGCCCAACCCCACAAACCGTGAGATCGTGACTGGAGCCGAAATCAAGAATTGGGCCACTCAACCAACTGAGCCACCCAGGTTCCTGGAACCTGTTACGTATTTTCTGTTCACCTTCCTCAGTGTCTCCATGGCATTTGGTTCAGAGGACTCACATTCGCTTCCTCAAACTCCTGCCTTATGGAATAGTGTCTCCTTGTTTCTTCCTGCCTTTCTAATATTCCTCTGCAGGCTCTCCCTCCTCTGACAGGTTTAGTTGATGATGGTATTTCCCCGAGTCCCTCTGTCTTCTCCTCAACCCTCCATACACATACTCCAGGTAATCTCACCCCATGCCCATAGCTTTGACTTCCATCATTATGCCTGATTATCAAGTCTATATCTTAGAAAATGTAAGTTTTACTCAGTTTCAGCTTCTCTACAAATTCTAGACTTTTACAGTGATCCCAAGCCATATTACAGAGCCTAAAGCAAAAGGAAAAATCAGTAATACAGTTCCTGTCTTTTTAAAGCCTTGATATTTTTGTTTATCATAAATCTGTTGCATCAATTTTTATTTTTATTTTTTTTATTAAAAA